CTTCAAATCAAGAGCCCCCCTTCCACATCAAAGTCCCCCGTCACATTAGGAGCCCCCTTCCACATCACATTCCCCCGTCACATTAAAGTCCCTCCTTCATGTTATGAGCCCCCCTTTCTCACCAGAGTCCCTCTTTACATTAGGAGTCGCCCCCACCCTCCATGGATTAGCCTAATTTGTTTTAATGGTGCCAGCAGAATTTTGAGGCACCTTGAGAAGGCACCCCAGGGTGATGCAGCACCCTGGTTTAGAAAAGCTGGAATAGAAGAAGCCCCGCCACTCAAACTATTTTGGTGCTCCGTTTTGCTTCAGGTGCCGGCTGTGAAAGCCCATCCTCGCTCGCTGTATCCCAAAAACACATACATTGCGAGTCCCTACATGGGAACTGCTTCTCTCTAACTTGTTTTACCCTTACGGGCTCAGTCATAGAGGCCATACCACTAAGCCCGTAAGAGTGAAATGAGTCAGAGAATCGGTTCTCAGGCGGGGAATGGCTATGTGCATGTTTGCCTGAATAAAGTTGTTTTTTTTTTTTTTTCTCAAAGGAAGTGATGTGATTGGCACGTTGCCTTCTAATTTAAGTATCTGACAAACCTGACTGGTTGAACTGTATCCAAAACCTATATAAAACCTTGGATTCTGGCTGGCTGTATCCGAAACTAATTGTTTTCTCTCTGCATGCTGTTGTGTTTTCAAGGTGATGAGCTGAGCAGGCTGCGGAATTCCCTGTTCACGTGCTGCAAGACGGGAGATTCCGAAAGCGCTAAACAGATCCTGCAGGACCTTCTTCCTGACTTTTCCCCCTCCCCGTCCCCTCAGACCAAATCTCCAGCCAGCGAGGTGGTGAGCGGACTGGTGAATGAGCGTCTTCCATTGGAGCAGCGTACACTGCTACACGTAGCTGCGGCAGCGGGACACGGAGAAGTGGCATGTCTGCTCATGAATGCTGGCTGGGACCCGGCCCTCAGGTAAAGTCTCAGGGTCATGCTCAGAATTTTATGTGTATATATATATAATTTGTTTTTTTATCTTGGCATATTTTAGTAAATCATTGCAAAATGTAGAAACCTATAAAACAAAACGCAACCAGACGCCATCTTTCACTGGTCTGACTTCAGTAGAGTAATCTCTACTGCACTTTACTCTGTGTGGAGCTTTTTGCATAAGCCAAGGGTAGGCCACCTCGGCACTCCAGCTGTAGTGGAACTACAAGTTCCATGAGGCATGGCAAGGCTCTGACAGCCACAGGATTGACTCCCAGAGGCAGAAGCATGAAGGGATTTGTAGTTTCACCACAGCTGGAGCACCAGGTTCGCCCATCTCTCGCTTTGGGACTGTTCTGCTGTGCAGCTGGCCATGCAATTTGATAGAGCCACTGAACGCTCTGTTCCATTTTTCTTCAATATCAAAAAGCAGTTAAAGGGTTAGTTCACCTTTTTACAAAAAAATGAAAAGGTGAACTTACTCATAACACTCTTCCCACCCCCTTGGTAATCGCTGCACTTAGCTGCTGTTATGACCATCTACCGCTGCCTACACAAGCTGGCGTAAAGGGCCACACACTTCTAGACTTCACTACACAGCCTCCGACTTCCAGCTGCATCAAAACAAAGGGTGGGCAGTGTCTTACAGTTTATTTTCTTTACAAATCGGCTATAGCTTGTGTAGAAAAGCCTTCCCCTGACCCTTGCTGTTTGTGTTTGAAGCAGTGGCCTCTCTGAAGTGGTCTGGCATCATCCCTGTTGAGTCAAAGGTAGAGCTCTCCAATCATCAGGGAGCATGAGGGTTGCTAATTGCAGAGTTATAGGATTGACTCGGAAGTAGGCATCCTAGACCTCTGTAGAGAGGCCCCTGCTTCTTAAGGCCCCGTTCACACTGAGCGATTTATCGCGCGTTAATTCCCGCGATATCGCGGCTATTGACCGCGCGATATCGCTCTCCAATGCTTGGCAATGGGGCAAAGGGTCCTGCTGTTGCGGGTCGTGCGTCGCTGCAGCAGGACCCTTTTTTGGAGCGGATTTTGCCGCGATTCAATGCAAGCATTTGCGTGACATCGCGCAAAATGCAAATCGCGCGACAAACGTGCGATTTGCGAATCGCGCAGTGTGAATGGGGCCTTACAGAGAGCAAGGGTATACTCTGCAGCTGCTGGCAGATGACAGGCTTTTCTACTCAGGCTGGGGCTCTTTTGGAGAGAAAAAAAAAACTAAGAGATTGAACACCTTTTTTTTTGTTTTGCTGCACCTGGAATGTGTTCACCTGATTTTAAACTGAGGGTTTAATTGGGCTTTAAGTGCTGCTTCTGGTTAGAGGAGGCCTAATCAATGCAGGCTGCCATTGCTAAAATCTCCTTTTATAAATGGCATATTTAAAAAATTGTTCTCATGGACTTTGAACAACCAAATCGGAAATCATTGTTCCCTGGTGTCTGTAAATATAAGCTGGTTGCTTGCTTTGGCTTATTACACCTGGCACCTAATACTTGCTCTTTGATGGTCTCTGAAACACGTCCGCCATTCACACGTCTTGCCCTCGCCACCAGAACAAGCCCTGAGAGTCGGGAGCAAAGACTGCATTTGAACACACACTAGAGACTACACTGACTTCATTTGGTTTGTCATTTTACGTTGTCAGTGGCTGAGATTTGTAATCCTGTCTTGTAGGGACTCTGCTGCACAGACGCCGTATTCCGTGTGTGCTGACAAACGCACCAGAAATGCCTTCAGGAAATATCGGGAGGATAACCCAGACAAGTACAACTATGGCAAATCTCAGGCGAGTGTGCAAAGACTGGCTTTAGTATTTGTAAAGTGTTCCACGTTTCTCTTTGGCAACCAGCATGTCAGTGTCACCGAAGATAACTTTCCTTTTGTGGGCGCAGATCCCAGGGCCAGTATCGGAGGAGGTGGAGGCTCGTCGGACTGAAAAGAAAAAAGCTCAAAAAGCCCAGAGAAAGGAGAAAGAGAAGGAGGAGAAGGAAGAGAGGCTGAGGAGGGAGGTCGAGGAGGCTGAGAAGAAAAGATTTGCAGCATTGAGTGATCGTGAGAAGGTGACAATTCCGAGCTGATTACTACTGATCCTTGTTTTCATCATTCTGTCCTCAGAACGGGGCACGCATTTTTAACACGGTGTAATATTCAGGGCGGATATGACCCGTAGCCAGCCGTATCAGATAATAAACTTTTATTCATTTCCACAAACAATCAAAGTAAATGGCTTATATTCAGCAAACACAAGACTTCGGCTCAGCGCCTGTATACTAAGTCCCACCTCAGGGTTAGGGTCCCAGCCTCAGGGTTAGAGTCCCAGCCTGCGCACAGAGGGTTCCAGTATGGACGCAGGTGCCCCAGCAGTGTCTTGGCAGACTCTACTCCACAGCTTAACACACATAGCCATGTGTCCTGTTCCAAACACTCCAGACAGACTGACTGGCTTCCTGTTCCTTTTTAACACACCCTCTGGCTGGTGGTTTAACCCTTTCATTACCAGAACTGGCTGTAGTCAGGGATGGAGGCTCTGAATACAAGGTGACTTTAACGGGACCACCACCTAAACAAGGGAGGGATATACCGTCCATCCAGGACCCATTCCTGGCGTCCTGTACAACGGAGACCGTTTTGATGGAATGTGCTTGAACTTCCTTTGGTTTGATTGGCATCTTTTTGTCTGTGCTGTTTTATCGTTGATATCCTTTTTCTTTTCTCCCGCACAGAGAGCTCTGGCTGCAGAACGTAGGCTGGCCGCTCAGCTCAGCCTCAGCAAGGAGACCTCTGTGAATAACGTCAGGTGAGGATTGCTGACACACAGTTGGGACCATAAGGGGGCCATTTACACGGGTGGTGAGGGTCCATGTAACATTGTGTGCATTCAGCATGTGGCTGAATGCACACAATGTTAGTGAACATCCGTGGCCAGCAGCGCTTACTGGTGAGTAAGCGCCAAGATGGGAAGTACATGTGAAAGATGCACTATATTGCCAAAAGTATTGGAACACCCCTCCAAATCATTGGATTCAGGTGTTCTGTGAAATTTCCTTGCTATTAAATATTCCGCATGGCAATATAGCGAATGTTTATATGTGGTCTGAACTGGACTTGATGGTGGTTATAGTATTAACAAAATAGCTGATGTTCACTATTATTCCTACCATTGACCTATGAGATAGAATTGAGTTATTCTTATAATGCTTTTATGGCACCACACTGTTGGATGTACTTTCCAGCTCCCAGAATGCACCTGACCATTGACACTGGCATTTTTTATTTTCTTTCGTCACAGGAGATGCTGGTTATGTGGCGAGTCTCTGTTGGGAAAAGTGCCTTTTGAATACCTCGAGTTCTCCTTCTGTTCTACCCGCTGTTTGCACGAACATCGACGGAGCCAGTCTGACAAATCTCAGCAGTAGCTGCATCTCCTCTGCTAAGGGGGGGCGCAGTGTGATGTGTCCATGAACTGTGAGATACAACACAGGACGGCTGCTGCAGCCAGTGATTACCTCATCCCTGAAGATGGATCGTGTCACGACGTCAGCGGAATATGTCACAGAGGACCCAAAACTGCATTCAGTTCAACATTTATTGTGTATTTCCGATAACTGTAGGAGAGTATAGACTTAGGACTGAAAACAGCTTATGAATTGTTGGAAGGTGCTCTGGTCAAGAATTCCTCCAGGTATTAAGAAAAACAGCAACAAAAAGAAAAGAACAAGTCTTTATGAGGACCCTGTGCACATACATGTGAAGGAATTCAGAAATTTGGATCTGTGTGTGGCCACGTCATCATAATTACCAGTGCTGGAGGCACGCACAG